GATGGTGAAGGAGAGCCGTGCTGGTTGGTGAGGAAGAAGGGGAAGAAGGTGCCCAAGCAGAAGTTTCCCTGCAACCCATGGCGAGATGGCAGCTGTGCCCCTGCACTCGTGGAGGAACAAACGTGGTGGAACATTTCCTGGGGAATGTCATCTTGGGCCCAAACCAGGACAACATGTCAGTCACCAAGGGAGGAAAAAAATCCTGCAAAAAATGTTGCTCAAAAGATTCAACAGGAAGGTTGAAAGAATATTTATCAAAATAAGCTACTTCCACAGTGTAAGAATTCAGGACAAGAAGAGAAAAGCCACAATGAGGAAGTTAGATGAAGGCAAGCTTTTACGTTCTAGAAAGAAAAGGTTTCTGGATAGGATGACAAGACATAGGTAAACTGGTGAATTTGTGGCAGGAGAAGAAAGATGATGATTCAAAGCTGTAAAAAAGCTCCTTTTTTCTGAAGCACGTGACCCCTTCTATACTCTACCATCTATGGTTTTACATTTGTAGCAGTTGCTTTTACCAGCAAAATAGTTTTTCTATACCAGAGCAACAAAATGCAGCAGACTCATCCCAGGTTTGTTTGCTTTTGTGTCCGCCAGCTTGAGCAGTGATGACAGTTTAAATCCAACAGCATTGCCAGCATAACCTCCCTAAAAAGAAAGAAGCAAACAGCTGAGGCATGACACCAATGGGCAGCAATACTAATGAGGAAGTTTGGTCAATCAGCCATCTCCATTTTGGATGTCACTTACCGCATTCATAATGTTCCCAGCCTGAAGGACCAAGTGCAATATGGAATGCAGTTCCTCACAAGTCATTAGCTCTGTAAGGTACAAGAAAATTGCCATCTAACAACTGTTTGTTTAGAAATATACATAGTCAGTTACCAAACTCCTCTTCATCTCAAGCTTTTAAAGGCAAAAACTTGTATTTTACAAGCAACTACAACAAACCAGAAAGATTATGGGGGGCAAAAAAAAAAGGTATTATTCAAATTCACAAGCAGAGTTCACAGACCCCAAGTGTACGCTGGACTGTAGCTCAGCAAGTGTAGTATTTCCAAGGCAATCCTCAGCAGCTAACAAAATATCTGGGGCCTAGTCCTCCAATGTGCAAAGTGTCTCATGTAAGTGGTTTAAGTATCCTTACCACCTACTAATCCCAGCATAAGGCAACTGCTCTGCACCTTGCAGGATCCATTTGCCATTTCCTGGGACTGGGCTTTTAAACAATTACTCTTTTTCTGGGAGACTTGGCCATCAGGCCTGAAAAGATAACAGTGTTTAAAGTTTCCTTGCTTATCCCACTCTCACTATGAATCATCGTTTTATTTCTGTATGATCACCATCTCAGAGCAGCATTTATTTTACTTTAGTCATATCAAAGATGATTTAGCACAAAGACACACTCAGTGTGATGCTAAGAGTCAAATGGAATAAAACTGCTTTTTAAGGCTTTTCCATCACAGAATCCTGTTTTGTACACATCTTCATTTTTTGCAAAAGGCACAATCACACCATCTGCATTCATACACCTTTTCACTCAGTCACTTATAAACACAAATTAATACATGTGCTTATAAAGTCACATAAAGAGTGATTGCCTTAGAAGTAAGATACAGGAATTCAAAACTGTAAAGAATTAATAAATTAGCATTACACAAGTGGCACAGCAAACCAAGTAACTCCAAATTTGCCAGTGCCCATACAGCAAGGAAAATCACATCAGCTGTTTTTAATGTCAAGTACTATATTTAACACTGACAAACACAGTAAAAAGTGGAATCCTTTTGATTGCAGTGTAAATGCTTTTAAAAAACCATTTTGCTGAGAAGTTCACATTCTATAACTTACCCTGCATTTAACTGCTCAACTCAATACACTATCATTCTAGAAGCAGACAGCCCTTGTATCTTTGTATTAGCAGCCTAAAAGCACAGAACTAATTAAACAACTTTTGATCTAACAAGCTTTAGGTGAGGAAGAAAGGAGGAAGAGGAGTGAATACAAAAGTCAACGCCACATTTCATACAGCCAAAGGGAAAAGGCAGGTTCTAAAGATTTTGCATAGTAAGAGCCTGCTCGGTGTCACCATGAAAAACATCCATTTGCAGCCTAGATGAGAATCCACCAGGCTATTTAGACCATCCTAATACTCCGTGATTATCAGTGTTAGAACTTAAGTAAATATTCTCTCAGCTTAATTACAAGGAAAGAAACATAGGAGTTGGGGATAGAAAAGTAGATGCAATTCCTGAACAACTTCAGGCTATCAACAAACCCTGAAGTGAACAGACCAAATGGAGAAGCGCACATGACAGGTGGACTGAAAACAGGGAAGCTCAGTCTGATTTGCATGACTGGCCCAGTGCAGGAGTTGGAGACCAAAGAGTCTCCTCTGCAGGGAATGAATTAATCAGTTTGCAGATGTCCTGGTTGAAGGACATGAAGGACAACAGGGCGCAGCTGCTTTTATGCATAAGATATTCCTTCACATACGTCTGTTGCTCAAAACACAAAGAACAATGATTTGAAAGAGAGCCCAATAAGCTAAAGCACATTTTTCTGAGTCAAGAAGGACCTGGTTCAATCTCCACTGGTGGGAAAAACACACCAAGCTTTTCTCCCTTTCCTTTCACTAAAAGTGACTATCACAAACACTGGTACTCATACTTCAACACTTCTATCACTGTGCCTTTTTATAACACTAAAAACAGTCTAACCAGTGGTCTAACAGCTTGTCATAAAATTTGCCAGCATGACCAGAAAAAAACAGGCATTCAAGGCAGAGTCTCCAGATTTTTTATTTTGTAAGCAAAGATTCACCAGACACACCCTGATGGCATTTGTCAGAGGGGAGTTAGCTCCCTTTTAATAGCTAAGGTACCTGAAATTCAAGCTCTATAGTCTTCATAATGTAGACTAATTAACATGCTAAGAAAAACAAGAGTATTATACATGTCCCAACATGCTTAATTACCTTCTGTTGCCCGTCTTATAATTTTCATGTCATCTTGTAGAGAAGCACAGGAGGGTGAGAAATCCCTCTCCAACACCATGGCTTCAATCCTAAGAGCATAGCTGGAGTACACAAACAGGTCAGAACTGACAGCCGAAAAAGAACATTTATCATTAACAGAATAAACATGCTATCTCCTTACTTTGGCACCTGGATTAGATAATACATGAAGGAATCAGCTTGAGACAGTTTTGATACATCTCCATCAAAGGCTTTTAACTTCTTTATCTAGAAAAGAGAAAAAAACACTAGCAAAGAATTTTATCAAAGACCAAGATCATCTTGACTTTGGAAAGAAACACCTTGAAAAGCAGTAAATTTAACAGAAGGCATTAGAGAGTCCATTCAGTGACCAACTGAATGGCTTCACTGTCCAAGCTCCTCTCATTTGCACACATAAATAATAAAATAAATTAAGTATATATGTATATATATATATAAGCCCAGTAACATCACTCTTCCCCCAAAAACCTATCTGTACAGTCCAGTGGAGAAAATACAATGCCAAAGTTCTGACTGAAGATTCTGATTTCTGATTTCCAATTCATTGTACTGATTTCTGATCTAAGATTGCTCTCCTTGCTACATTTATGACACTGCTATTCCAGTTTCTGCAGGTGAACTGGCACTTTTCTTTCCGACTGGTCCTCTTGCTGTTCTTGAGCTGTTTGCCCAGGAAATAGCTGCTCAAGTGACAATCTGAAAATTGATCCTCAAGTCCACAACAACTGTGATGTACACTTAGGCATAGCTTAAAGTCAACTGTGTTCAGCATTTCCAGCATAGGACTACAAGATCTCTTGGGGCAAATGCAGCTACGGTATAAGTTACGGTTTGGTTTTTTTTCCAGATACTTGCTTCAACCATTTCCTCTAAAACTCTCTTAGGTGGTAAACTTCATGCTCTTTGATTTTGTTGTTTGTTGTTTTTTTTTTTCATTTGTACAAAATATTTTAAAGATAAATGCAATCCTGCATTTTAAGTTCTTAGTCGCCAGCACTTTGAGAACACCATTTACATGCAAAGGAAATATCACTGTATTAATTTTGTCAATCTTCCTTCCCAGCTCCACCAAAGTCCGTATTATTTGCATGACCTGGAAGCCACTAATCTGCCCACATTCTTACTATGCGTTTATATGGAAGAACTGGAAAATACATGCAGATATGTTTAAGTGGAATTTCTTCCACATCTTCCAACACAGCAACTGTGTCCATAAGCAGAGCTTGCTCTCAATTACACTGTTTCTTCATTCAACCAACAAGTTCACACCCAGCAGCAGCTGTCTGCTTCCACTGCTTCACACACAAGCCCATCATGCTTCCTTTTTATAACATTACACTTTAAGTCCACTCATAACTCCACTTACACACATGGTCTTCAGTTTTAGAAAGCATATTAGGCTATACTGGAGAGAGGTGCTCTACATCTGGGCACCAACAGTTACCAGGTTGCCACAACTCAGCAAGATTTCCACAGGTGTTTTTTTTTAAGCATCAGGCTCCAAAATAATAATTTATTTTTCTTCTTTCACAGTAAAAAAGTAACTGATTTGTAGTGGAAGAGAACATATGCTATGCTAAATCAGGGATTTGAAAGAAATTCTCCACTAGCAAAACAAATGGATTATTTTAACAGCTTAGTTCTGCTTTATTCCTATTCTTTTTTTCACATCATTAAAAAACAGAAATGTTGAAAGCACAATAAGGAAGAGGAAAAAAAATTTACAAATTTAACCCACAATAAAAACCTGCATTTCAAATTAAAAAAAAGCCAACAAACAAAAAAACGACCAGAACTTATGACTAATCAAAGCACAATTTTTATTCAGGCAATCTAACTCCACTTCTTAACACTCACCCATTTAGCTCAAGACACTCAGACAAAAAAATCCTTTAAAAGATAAAAAACATACCCATTTTTTGAAGCCTGAGAAAACTTAATTTACAGAGTCATTCAAGAAGTCTGCCAACAAAAAACAGGAAAGACCAGACTTGACACTCCTGATGATTCTAAGGTGTCAAGCAAGCAAGAAACAAAACCAAAATAAACTTTTTTTCCTACATCATGAAGTGGGGAGTGGGAGACATCTACTATCTCAGTCAGTGTTTGCAGGTGACCTTTAACCTAGCTTCCAAAAAATGGGGGTCTGCAACCTTAGCAACAAAAATTGCAAGTTCTCCAACCTTCTTTTAGTATATTGCAAGTATCAAAATTTCCCTGAAAAGAATGTGGGTATTCAGACTTGGGGTGGGATGAGGGAGGGATAAAAAGAAAAGCAACCCACCAAAAAACCCACCTCAAATCATCAAAATCAGGACAAACCATAGGTAATTACAGGAAGATTAAATTTTAAGTTTTAAATTAACAAAAAAAGAACAACAGGAGATCCTGAGATACTCACAAGAGTATTAACTTATTCATGCTACCTGTACTGTATTTAAATATACTCTTGACAGCAAGTAGCAACCAATGTTATCCATATGGAATGTTAATTTTACAGACACTGGATGAAAATCTCTTTCTTCTCCCCTGTTATACTAGGAAAACTGCCTGGAGTGGTACAAGGGAGTGCTAAGCCCTAGAACTCATCCAGAGGAGGAAGTTTCCTATACACGCACAACAGAAGACACTGACGGGGCAGCCTTCTGACGAGTAGAATGGAGTGTGAATGTAACAATGCAAAAAGCTTTGGGCAGTAACCAACCCAAAAGACAGTCCGTGTAATCAACCTTAAGGCAAAGATGTGCTCACTGCCTGGTTACACTTTTTCCAGCCCACACCAGTCATCTTAAACTCCTCTGTCTTTGCCTTAGATGTCCAAAACTACCTTTATAAGAAGCAACAAAGAAGGTCACCCAACAAGACCAAAACCCAAGCAAGGTGAAAGATAATGACCCATTCCACAAACAGACAAAACAGAAACACGAAAGAGTTACAAGTTCATTTCATCCCAAAATTCAACACAGCACAATCCTGGTTCTCTATACCTGTCTAAGGAGACTAAACTCCCTGTTGACATTAAAACAGTAAATAATCCAAGGAGTAGCTACAGTAAAGATACGACAACAATTTATGTTGTGTTCACTCCTCATTACAAATTTCATAATTGAAAATTATAACTTTTTTTCACCATGAAGAAGGGGGAAAAAAAAAAAGTTATTTTACTTAATAGACACTATTGATAAACTAAAAGAGCAGCTTCTGAACCTATTGAAACATATTTTGAATGGCTCCCCTTCATGTTCCAAGGGAGGTTACTCAAAAGTCCACGGGATTGGCCTCTTCTCTCTCCAGCCATGTTGTCCAAGTCTTCCCAGAGATAGCTGAAATTATCTGATGGTTCCTAGAAGTGGGGGTTAAATTCAACTACCAAATGCAGCCAGGAGCTGCAAAGGAATGATAGGGATTGACAACAATGTTCACTATTAATCATGTCAACAGCTACAGTAGATAGCTTCATTAGTCCGAGAACACAAAAGAGCTAAAAAACATGTTGTTGTTTGTTTGTTTGTTTGTTTAAATCACAGTTAATAACTCTATCAGTTTTGGACTTGACCTCCTCTCTTCAAGAGCAAAACCTCTTCCACAACAGTATGCAGCCACGTACCAAGATATGGCAGTGGAATGTATATATGAGAGAGTGCATAATTATATCGTATGCTCAGTTCTGTATTACTCAAATTGGGCGAAAAGCTACTAATTTAAGTTTTCATTATATTTGTATATGGAATACGCATTTGCACTGTCCGTGCATGTCCAAGCACACTAAATCAGATGTTAAGATACAGAAGATTCTCACATACGTAATTTGCTTTATTTTAAGAACAGTTATGAAACAGAGAAAGCCTGATCTTTGATTTGATTTGTGAACAATTGGAGCAGATATACCTATTGCAAGTATCTCATTATTCCTCGCAGATAGGAAAGCGACTACATTTCTGCCACTCAAGTTTTCAGTTATTTTTGAGCTACCAGTCACACTTATTTATAAGCAGTGGAATTTTACTTTATGGCATAAAACAGGTGTTTGCACTCTTATGCAGGTTCTTTGAAGAAGAGTATAAATCACTACACCACACATCCTCCTATATGTTTGCAATTAATTATTTTCCTGCATTCTGATCAAATAAGTAAAATATTCCCTACATTAAAGCCAAATGCAGCAGTCCAGAGGAGTAAATATTTTCTCTGATTGGTGTTTTGTTTTGTTTTCTTGGTTGGTTGGTTTAATTTTGTTTTTAATATTTCCATACTATGTAAGCACTCAGGGCACTAAAGCAAAATAGAGTTAAAAAATAGCAAAACCCCAAAAGCATCACAGTGTAATCTAAGTACAAGGGCATGTGGAAAAGCAGCTAATATATTAGGTGGAGAGGCTCCATGGAACACATGCCTGTTCAGAGGCAAACCTCTACCAGCACATGATAAAACAAAAATGGGGAAAACCTGTAGTTATCATAAGGGGCAAAAAAGGGAGCAGGTGGTGAAAGCTATGAAGGATGGTCAGCCATATAGAGCACTGTCTGAGGAAAGGAGGGGGCAGTTAACTCCACAAACACGGTTTGAAAAGGGCAGAGCTGACAGACAGAAACAACTCCAGTGAAGAAGGTGGCAGATGACAAGGGTTTTAAAACCGAGTATCCAAGCAAAGGACAGGCTTGAGATGTTATAAAGAGATTTAAGACACTGTGTTGATAACCATGTGTGGGTGAGCTGATTAGCAGCATGATGCACTCTCTTCTGTACATATTTAAAGCATAAATTATGGCTATTCTAGCTCGTTAAACGCTGGCCTCTCTCGACTTCTACCAGCCTGGGCCTGCTGAAGAGTGCAACAATATGCACATAAAAGCAGCTAAAAACTTTGGTTAGGATGCCAGTAAATGACAGCTGTCAGGCATTTTAACAGGATATTGTTAAGAAAAAGCTAGGAATCTTTTCAGAAGTGATACAGGCAATTGGTTCACTGAAGACAAAGGCTCCCTGGAAAAAAAACCATGAGCTGCAAAAGAGATCTGAAGCAGAGGAGATTCCAAATAGGCATTTCTTCCTCTTACAAACCTCCTACCCATAGTAAGGCACAAGCAGTAGGACTTCTAACAAGGCTTACACAAAAACAGTGATCCTAACTTACTCATTAATGTACTGAGTATCTTTGTATCTTTTCTTCATCTTCTTTTTTTTTTTTTTTTTTTAAAAGCACACCCATGATGGGTAGGCTGGTACCACACCCACAGCCCTGAACAAAACTAAGTGAAACCTTACAGCAAGCTCCAGGTTTGCCAGCTTCAAGAACTTGTCAAGTTTTTCAAATTAAACATTTGAAAATATCCAAATGTTTTCAGCCTGACAAAAGACTTCATAGCAGTGCCAATACTTCAATAATGATGTTACTCAGTTTGACAAAAACATCCAGGGAAGAGCAAGTATTTGCCTTTTATACACAAAAATCTCAACAGCTTTTACAGCTGTTGGGATTTCTCACAGAACACAGCTAGAAAATTACTAGTATTGATACTTATTTCTGCATGTAAACAGAACTGCTGTATTAAAATACTGCAAAAAAAAATAATTTTAAAGATAACAGATGTTAAATACATTTGTTAGCCCAAGTGTTTAGCCTCCATTGTCAAAAAGTTGTCCAGCTCAAACTGGTGAGCAGGGGAACATTCAGGTAATATGGCAATATATCATAATACTTCTAGATAAGACAAGATTGGAGTATAAGGCCAGTGTTTATTCACACTAAATAAACTCTAAAGGTTGTCGATAAAAAAGAAACATGATGGTCCTGAGTTGCCCTTTCGCCAGCCCTTTCTCTTTACAGACTAAGTATGGTACCATATAAAAGAAAAAACAGAACACATTTCCAAACACAAATATTGGGACAGAGCTCTCATCCCAACCTGCAACACGACTGTGCTACTGGGAAATGTGACTGTAAATACCTGAGCTGCTGAAAATACGTGCACACAAAGAGGAACTGCCCAAGTCCACCCGTAGCTGCACCAAGACATTTAGCACCGGTAACTGAATATCACCTAACTTTTTAGGATCTAGCTGCTCGAGTCTCTGCTCAGAGTAATTCTCAACCCCTACAACAACAAGGGAGGTGTTCAGAAGAACTGGAAGTATCTAAGGGTAATGCCAGGGAACTCTCGCTGAGAACAAGTGCAACATTCTGCAAGGATAGGCCAATATGAAGACACCTTGCCAACTCTTATCTCGTATGATATGACAAACAGATCAAAAAAAAGTTAGGGACTAGTAAACAGAACAGCAGAACACATAACACCACTTTGTCTGATATTCTGGATAGATTTTGGATTATTTTTGTGTAGGCAAGGACTGTATAGTTCTGATGGCTTTCCTTTAGCAGTGAATCACTATTCCAGGAGACAAGTATTCAGACTGTGAGGCAGATGATAAACTAACAAAAAAGAAGGGGACATAGAAGGAGAACAATGAACACACATTTAGGGAAAAAAATACTAAGAAAGATGAACAACAAAAGCTTTGGGGCTCCTAAAGAGAATGAATTTTTGAACTGACTACACTAATATTTTAGGAGCCACAGTAAATGAGTTACTAGACCCACTTATTCTTTGAACACTTGAAGCACGAGGACATAAAGGCACTGAAACGTTTTTCCGTACCAGCAGAAATATCAGTCCCTCACACTCAGGATCTTCTCCATTTCCTCTTCCCCCCACCCAAGCCCTCTTGAGGAAAATTCCCAAGAAGTTAAACAGTTACAGGGAGAATTAAGAAAGGGAATCTTTTCCTGACAGTGAACATGAGATCTCTGAAGCATGGAACTAATCAAATATAAATACCTGCACACTGGAAACAAGCTTCCTTCCAGTTTTTCCTTGGAAAGACAAAATATATAACATCTAATGGCCCTTCATTTCTAATGCTTACAACCCTGCACCATTAAATCTCTTCTATTAATTTCTCAAACACCTCCTTAAAAGCACTTCTTAAGTGCTCTGGCCCCACTATCCATCTAGTAAGAAATAAATATACCCTTTCAGTCTTAGCAGCACCTGCTGGATATCTAAAATGTCTAGCTGAATATTGCAGACAAAACGCTGATAAAAGTTCAACAACTTACACTACAATTCCAGCTGAATTACAGCATTTGTATCATAGAAGTACACTATTTGACAGATTTACTACTTGTCAAAAAATAGCAACCAAGATCTAAAAGAGGAAAAGAAGAAAAAATACCTTTCTTTCAGTCTAATTTGCTGAATATAGACTGAGTTAACTAGGAGTCACTTTCTTTTAAGTTAGTACTTCACTGTTCTCCTCTGACTTTTTCAAAGGAGTTAAATTCTCTTTAAATATAGGAATATGTACTGAAATTCAAACAAAGAGGGAAGAGGGAATAGTTTTGAGCTCCTAGAACTACTGTCACCTGTTTTTTGCAGATTAATTACATTCCAACTTGTTGGTACTACCCAATTCTAAAAAATATATTAAGCAAATATAATAACACAACACAGTTTTTCCAAGATTCTCTGCAAAAGCAGCTTAATTTAGTATTATGTATTTTACAGCAAAATAATATTACATGTTTGGCTGTTGACTGGATCTGAGATTTGCTGCTGCACAGAGGAAACTGAGTGCTTTGACAGTATGACCTTGAAGTGGTAAAGCAAATGAGCTGAGGTTGATCTGTACGTGGACATTAACTAGCAATTTCCCGGGTTTCAGCCACCACTTTGATGTGAAGCACTCAAGCAACCCCAATGCTAATTTTGTCAAATTTGTGGTATACATTTCTCTCAAGTACATACAAATGGGTCAGTGCAAATACGTGAGCAGACAAGGAACTGTGCATCATTAAGCAGAGCTTCCAGGTCAGTTGATGAAGCTTCACCTCTTTAATCATGTGAATGGACTTGAAGGTGGACTGGGAGAAGAAAAAGCAGCACTTGCATGCTGGTCATACTGTGAGCACAGGGACCTTGCAGAAGGCACTGCTGGTAATTCTGTGCCTTCTAATGTGTCTCCTTTGGAGCAATAAGCCATGTTAGCAAAATCTGTGGGTGCTGTAGAGCAGCCTTTTGCCCTGTTGGAATGCAGTGACCCAGGCCCCGTAGCAGGCAGATCCCAGATGCACTAAACAGGCAGCAAACCAGAAAGGCCCGGACAGTAGCACAGGGCTACCAATATTCAACTTTCAGGCACTGCAATGGGAGAAATATGAGGCAGGTACCAGAGAAGTGAAATTTAATTTGTCTGCATTAGAATATACTTTGATTCTGAGTTTTCTGAACCCCCAGAGTTATCTGCACACATGAGGGTTCCAGGTCTTGCTTATGGGACAAAAGGGACATCATAAGGGACATCACACAAACAAAAATACCTTATCGCTACTTCCGTTAAGTGGCACCTTAAAAGTAAGTGAAATTACTTGATGTGAAGGGAATGACTACACTGCAACCTCAATACTACATGTCAAATGAAAAACTTTTGCACTCAGTGGTTTCCTATCCTCTTGTTTCAGGAAGGCTTTGGAATTCCTCTTTCACCGACCTTAATGTTGGAATCCCAGGCACTAGAACTCTACAAAAATATGAGTTCCATGTAAAACCAGTATTTACCTCCTCTGCTTCTGGTAATAATTTAAGAAATTCATGCAGCAGTTCAGAACCATAGGGCTCACTTCTTCCATGATAAATATCTTCAATGATGGATTCAGCAGACCTTGAAAAAACAATTGAGCATACACATTTCTAACACTTGCAGGGTGAATAGTAGACAAATTGAAAAAAAAAACCAAAACAACAAACCATGCCTGGGCTACTCACAGGAATTATAATGAGGTTATGCATCAGTGCCCACAGCAGCATTGTTCTAACACCACTTTTAGTGATGCCTTTACTGAAGGGCAACATTATCTATCAGTGAATAAAGATAGCCTTGAAACATCTTGCTTTTAACTCACCCCTTTCTATTAATTATTTATAAAGAAATTAAGTCAGTAAATAGCAGCTTTCTTGCAGTATTACATGAGATATAAGTGCTTCCCTTAATTATACCTGAAAACTCACTTCAATTGGCTAAGGTTAGCACTCTAAATGTTTGGAGATAAGTCATAATGACATTCAAAACTAAACATATTAGGAAAGAAATAATGCAATGTAGTTACTTATCATAAACCTGTGTAGAACTGTAAAATCCACAAGGAACAGAGCACATTTGATAAGAACTACAAATAATTTCACACATCTGTAGCTTGCATTAGCTGCATGGAAAAATCAATCTTACTTTTTGAATTGTTTGAGAAATATCCCAATGTTCATACTTCTTTTTGCATCCAAAATGGAAACCTGGGAGAGAAAGCGAGAGAGATTAATCTACCAATCCCTAGAAAAATAGCATATAATGAAGATATCATTTATTAAATTGTTACAGGTAAATTATTTGCAGTTGCCACAAAATTGCAGGCCAAATGAATACACAGTCCCTTCTTATCAACAAAGATCATGTATGACAGAACTAGTTTCACCATGGAAATACACAGCACACCCACAACACCTTTGACCAAGAGAAGCAAGAAAAAAACCCCGTAACAACATTTATAGAAGGAAAGAATCAAGATAAATTCCAGGTCATTACAAAGTAAAAACATTCTTCTTGCTTATTTTGTAACACTGCATCTTCAAGATGTTGCCTATCAAATAATACCTTTTACTGCATTTGAAGGCCCCACAGTTAGTGAGCACCACGCTACACTTCAGAACCCACCCATTTCAGAGGTTTTCTAGCAAATGTGAGAATGGGCTTTCCAAGCTGAGGTCAGTAGGCTCTACCAATTCCCATCACAAAACTAACAGCCCTGCTGATCCACAGGAAGATAAGTACGTTGATCTTGAATCAAACCCCAAGACAGATAATGCTCAAATCTGCTTGCTTTATCTAGAAGCAAACAGAAACTCACAATAAAGTGTCTCCCCTTACTTTATACTTTAAAGCTGATTTGCTATATCATCTTACTTGGACAATTCTGGAGATTCAGCAGACAGGATAAAAAAAAAGCAAACAAACATTTTTTCCCCTATTTTTTCAAAGTTTTAAAAATAAAACCATTAATTCTTTTTATACTAGTTTTTCTTCCTGTAACAGCATACAAGTTCAAATGTGAGATGTTTGCGCTGTTTTAGCAAATGATGTCCTTAAGGTTAAAATTTTACCACAGCTATTTTGGTGATAACATCGACAAAAGTCGTGAGATTTACAAGGACAAGAGAATTGTTTCACCTTAACAGTGCCACCCAACTGCTACAATAGAACGACTCAGTACACACAGATGTTCAAGACTGTTGTTGGACTCACATGATGCTTGAGGTTTTTGACAACTGGAAAGGTGTCTTGACCTCTGTGACAGTACACAAATAAAAAATACATATATAAATGCAATGTTGGCATCATTATGGAATTGAATTAGCCTGCAGCCAGCTGGTGACAGTGAAGATATAGGTGTGATTAATGTGCTCTTCTTAGCATACACCCAGGAGACAGCCCCTCATCTGCTGAAAAAAGTGAACCAAATTTAAAAGTTTTCTGAAATTTTGGAATTTCCTCTTCTGAAATCAGCCAAGATTAGAAAACACAGGATATCTGCATTTTAGTTTTAATCAGATGACTGCTAGCCTGAAGCCTTCGGTTTTAGCATATATAAAGATAAGAAGACAAACTGCAGATTATTCTCCTGTTATCTTAGGAGTTGAGAGGCCCCCAACAAATCATTAAGTAGGACAGGTTCAACCATCTGTTCCCTCTACAGTATCTAATCTTTTTTAACTGTTTTACTGCAGGGACCTCTCACTGACCTCTCAAACTGCAGCTCTAGTCTCCAGTTGCACTGGTCAGTCCTCATTGTCTGATTTCTCTGTACTAATTTAAGCCTATAAGCTTTGCCATCGTGATTTTAGTTTTTTGGGTTTTTTTAAAGCATATTCACAGTTAACCTGTACATGATATTTTCAGTCACAGTCAATACCTGTTTTGATAAGACTGAACCATCTGGGTAAAATTTTGGTTTTTGTGGCACAACTCAGATTTACAGTACAACCTCAAACAAAACTAGATCTTCTTTTTTTTGACATCTTATGTTGAATAAAAGCAACATATGCAGCTGCATTTGCCCTATCAGTATAATAATAATTCCGTAGCCATTTTTCAGTAAAAGGATCTTATACACACTCCTTCCTCTGTCTATGGCTGTATGCTGTTTTTTCTCTGATTTCTTGCTCAAGCATGCAATCAAAACATGTGGCTCAGCTCTTGGGCACTTTGTTTGGTGTCCACTTCGAGATTATCAAGTGTTCAAAAAAGCTGGCATTACTTAACTACCTTCAAGGAGCTTCCAGATAGGAGTGTAAGGAGGAGAAAGAGGGAACCCTGCAGATGCTCCATAAATACAAGTTCCTACTCCTTGCACATAAATATGGTACCTTCCAACTCGCATTCAGTTGTATATTAGATTTGTCGTCTTAGCCTTAACATCTGTCTGTAATGTCTAATGCTCTTCCCCACCAACTTTTCATATTATTTTGTCCTTGCAGAAAGCTGTCTGCATATTACTTCCTACCAAACTGTTGCTTTTTACCCTTTAAACATTACCCCAGCTTTTAACAAATTCTGTTCGCTCTGCTCTTCTACTCTTACACACCTTCAGCACTGGTGCCAGGATGGCACATTCCAAATTTGTGTTCACCACATAAAAAGATTTTAAAGTGCAGTCCACCAGTAATACCCTTGGACTTCTTGACTCAAAAAGTTACAATTAAGAATTGAGAACAGACTTTCCTAGTTTCACTGGGATTCTCTATACCAAATAAAACTCTCTCATCATAGAATGGTTTGAATTGGAAGGGACCTTAGAGATGATCTAGTTCAAACCCCCCTGCATGGATAGGGACACCTCCCACTAGACCAGGTTGCTCAGGGTCCCATCCAAACCTGCCCTTGAACACACCCAGGGATGGGGCCTCCACAACCTCCCTGGGCAACCTGTTTCAGTGTCTCACCACCCTCACACTAAGGAATTTCCTCCTAATATCTAACCTAAATGATTTCTTGTGATTTACTTCAGACAAATTCAGAAGAGCTTTCTCCATTTTCATCTTTGTCAGATCTCCTGCCAGAGAGAACTCTTACATTTTTGTTTATGCTACTCTGGAAATACTACAGTTCTCTTAAATACTTTGCACCATCTCAATACCTGCACTTTGCCAGCCAATGCAAGTGTCACTGCTTAAACACACTTGTCACCTCTCCTTCATAAACAGTGCAATCCCTGAAGCACAGACAGCTGATTGACTCATGAATCTGTTTCCCATCACCATAGTACTCAACTCAGCATATTTCTGAAACCTGTAGCAGGCACAGAACAGATCGTGTGCAGTAATAACAGCATCAGTTTGACAAATGTTAACCTACCACTGAATTATTCCCTTTTTGGGTGTATTAAGGGAAGAAGAAAATTAGCTAGAGTACCATAGTGAAGTTGTGATGATGGTAAATCTACTCCTGAACTCTGACACAAATTTACAATCAACAAAAAAGATTCAGAAAAGCTTCTGGGAGGCACAAAAAGTCTCACATCAATACTGCCTTTGCAGTGACTACAAAATGCAAAAAGAGCTTCTTGCCATGATTGTCAATGAGGAACAGAAACATGATGAAGTGGATTTATAACAAATTAGTGAAAGCAAAACATTATACATGTTCTTCAGATAAGAACAATGGGGTTTCACATGGTGGGATACAGTTTACAAATTATAGCAAACATAGAACAGCCTGGTGGTGCATGCTAAGATTAGGAAAGATATAAACAACCTCCTGTTTGAACTTCCTCTTCCCTTTACAACAAACTAACCATCACTACTGAGTTTAAAATATTGGTGTCTATTCTTTGAGCCACACACAATGCCTGGAGTGGCTGAGGAAAGGGGCACTTTCACAGTGTAGCAGAGTGAACCTAGCAGCTTTCTGCAGGGCTGTCCTGCTCCATGTCATGTTCCTTTGCCATGTTCCTAGCCTGCTCTTTCCCCTAGGCAGGCACTGGTACTCATCTCATTGCTTTCTTGATGTCTTAGTCTTCTGCTGGACTAACAGGTTTAATCAGTTCTCAAGGAGGTAGAATGAGCATCAGAGCCAGCACAGGGAAAACAGAGATAGGGTATAGCTAGGGGAAGGGAGAAGAGACATCCTGTTCACCCCTTCCATCTTCCTTCTCTCTCCTGCTCTCACTAGCCCCTTGCACAGGTTCTGGAATTCACTGCATCCTTTTGCAAGTCATCAAAACTCACTAAAATAGCTAAAAACCACTCCAGCAGAAAACAAACAAGAATCCAAACAGCATTCTGCTGAGCTACCTACTTAAATCTGTTTACAGAGAGTCCTATGTCTGCTATAGCCAGTGCACAGATGGGAGGAGCTGAGGGGCAGTTCAAAGGCAAAAACGCAAGACTAGATCTCTTGGCTGGCAACAAGCTCTTCTGCCTGCTCCACTGTCAGGCTACCTATAGCCTATGTGAGTGTATGTTGTGCCATACTGCAACACCTCTAAAGGATGGAGAAAGTAAATTGGTTTGTAAACGACGCTCTACACCCCCTATTTTTCAAAGGCTCAAATTAAATGAAACCATGGAGCAAATTAAGCCTTTGGCCATGGAAACATGTTAATTTATCTCCTAAGAGTTTGTCAGAGCTTGTTTACAAGAAGGAAATCATTTGCTGTAGCAGTTTGACTCAAATCTCTAAAGGGACTTTTGTTATATTGATGATGTTTTACCCTTCAGAACTGTGATTCAGTAAGCTGAGTTGGGCATCTAAATTCCCTGTATAAATCACTGGCAAGTGAAGAACTAAAAGGACATGCAGTATTGTAAGATCCTATATGGAGAGACAGCTTTTTCCAAACCTGCTCATTTCATAATCAACAGCAATCTCTAGAGAAGGTACGAAACCCCCTATCTCCACCACAGCCTCTGAGGCAGTGCCCTCAACGTTGGCTGAAGAGTCACTCTTCACTTCCACTGAACTTAGGCTACTCCACTGAGAGGAACCTCACTGAGTCTAAAGAGAAGACTCTCCAGCCATGCCCTTTTGCACAGCACTATGGACACATGCTGGATTTTTTCAGATTTTGCATTTACGTACTTGAAGTTATCTTGAAAATTCATTATTGACTTACTACACCAACTAGACTGATTTCACTATTTAAACTACAAAGAACACTTCTCACTGCTAGACCATAAATCACTTTCTAAAATCAATTGTGTTTTACACAAAAGGAGTAGAGGTACTGAAACACAAAATGTCTTGTTCACGTCGCCCAGTTAGGCCAGCACTGGCCAGGAAGAGAACTAACAGCTTCCTCAGCCCCACACTAACCACAAGGTCACACAGATGCCTTGTACCTCAGCCTGCTCCCACCTTTCAACCTCCAAAGGTTTTGTACAGCCAACTGAGGACAACCATCATACATTAAAGTAAGTGGGCAGCAGCTGACAGCACCGATGACGGAAATCACAAATATTCCCAATGCCTCAAACCTCCACACTGCTGCTGAATGGTGCCTGTAGTAACGTTAAGCATGTGAGCTGTTGCCTGTCTGTGCTTCCGCACTTCCAATAACACAGGATTATCTCCTTCCCTTCTGGCTAAGCAGCTAGTACTGCAAAGTCCATTAGCACACAACAAATTGCTCATCACTGCCTGACACACCACTGCAGCATGCTTGACAAAGCTTAGCAACGGAGTTGAATGTTCTGTCACTAAAGCAGCATAACTCAGAGACAAGTCCTGTTGCCTCATCACCTGCCACGTGCAAAGGCACCGTGGGAGTCCTGAACCAGGGTAGACAGGCATCAAGCAGTACAGGTGCACTGGACCCAGCTCCAGATAAAAACACAAAAACACTAACTTGTAGCAAGGCAGTTTTTTTCATTCCAAGGCAATCCACCTCTTGGAGTAACCCTTGTTTTGCAGGCCTGTAATTTTAATCTCTGACACTGCTCTTAATCTCATGATGCCCCAACTTTCAAGCTGTATATGAAAATATGTGAGCTCTGGAGCATGCTGGGTTTTCCTCTGTGCTGGCTACAGTACACTAGGGGCCATATTCAATTTATGAAACATCATCATTTTTACTGTAACTAGATCTTCACCACACAGCAGTCCTGAAAAGGGGAGCTCCTAAGGAAAGACACGTGGCTGGAGTTGTGTACAGCTGTGTGGAGTACAGGAAGTCCACTCACTGCAATCCTGATTTGAAGATGAACACAGCCTGAAAACAGCACAGAGGTTAATGACTACCTCTGATGATGGCCCCAATTAATCCCTCCCAATGCCAGGGTTTCAAAGTCTGCAATACACATGCCTGTTTTAAACCCCTTACTTTAGTCTATGTACAACATACACACTATCAGTACACAGGTTTCTCACCTTGTCCCTGCAGATTTTGACATCTTCTCAACTCTGCAAAATATGGTGAACTTCAGGTCCCTATTTTCTCACTACAAACTGATACACTGCTACATCTCTCAACCCCCTGCCTTCTGCATTTTGCTTACAAGCTAACACATATACAGACACACAGGAGATTAAATCTGCATTTCAAACATCCAATTACTCCACAGAATGATCACTTCAGACAATTCAATTATGGCTTCAGAAAGAGGGTGTCTGTAAGAGAGACTGTAAGTGGATAAAGTTTGCATTAGCAGGAAAGCAACATTTATGAAAGTTGAAACTTCAAAATTATCTAAATTAAACAACAAATTCCCTTTATCACTATATCATGTTTTATTTCCTCGCTGTCATACTGGTACTTCCCTTCCTGATGTCTCCAGGACATCAAGGGCATACACAGCACTAACCCTTGCAATAGAATCCTCTTCCTTCTGCATGGTTCACGGTTGCATGCAGCACATTTTGTTTGCACAACAGACATAGTGGAAGAGCTGAAACATCACAATACACCTGGTGTTTCACACTGAAAATTCAAGGGCTATCCAACACAAGCAAATACAGATGCCTTGAGCTCCCTCCACTTTTATTTAACAGGTGATCAAATCACAGCACTTGCCAAGTCAAAATAATAAAACACTGTTAGCTCTTTGAAAAACAAATGTGCGCCACTCAGAACAAAGAGTTTATCCTTCCTGTCTTTCCCCTCTCCTTCAAATCAAGACAAATTTGCTGCGGGAATGAAGCACGACAGAGAAAGAGACAAAAGCAGGTCAGAATTCACAACAATTCCTACAGCATTATGTAAAAGACAGGTTTTACTTCAATCCTTACCTCCTCTTTAGTCTCTTTAAATGAAGACTTTGAAGATCGACTTCGGAGGTCCTGGGGTTTGGTTTCTTCCTGCTGCCCAAAAAGTTCCTCGATTTTCTTTGTATCAATCTGATACTGCGGTCTTGCCGCAATCGTCCAGATATTGTTTTTACCACGGACTTGCTCTTCAGGGATAGTTTTCCAGAAAAAGCTCCGCATTCGTTTTTTTTTGCTGTGACTGTCATGTCCATTTGTCAGCTGAGGAGGCACAGGTGTGTTCGGCCCAGGCAGCGGAGGAGGGGGTGGTGGGGGGGGTGGCAGCCCCGGGGGGAGCGGAGGAGCTGGGGGTGCCCCTGCGAGGGGACATGGTGGAGGGGGTGGCGGTGCTGCAGGCTGAGAAAGTTGAGATGCTGTCGTCGTATCCTCGTTCATTAATCCCGTTGCAACTGGAATAGCCCCATTTTCTTTATCATTGACCAAGGAGAGACAATTCATAACATGCATTTTACAGCCTCTCCAAAGAGGAGAGAGTCACTTCCCTGCATCCGTCTGAAACATCGAATAGCGAGGGCAGCAGTAACCGATCTCACGCTCTCTCAAACTCTAGTCTGCCAGCAGCAGCAGCAGCACAAGAGAGGACTGTACCATCTCTGCAACCTACAACAAAGGACAATAGGGAGACTCAGATCAGAGAGACTGGATATTGTCCCTCACACTGAAAAGACTAAAATGAAGGTGTAACAGCTATCAAGTTTTTAATCCAGAAAGGAAACATAGTGGATCAAAAGTCTTTCCCAGGGAAATAATGTGATATTGATCCACACCAGGATTTCAAATAGCTTCAGATACCTAGATTTCAAGAACATACATAAACGTAGGAACACCTCTTAAATAATCCACAGTAAATACCAAATCCATCTATTAATCTTAGTTCAGTGGAATTTTGTAATAGAATATATTTTTCCTAAATCATTAAAGCAAACATTATTCCACTCCTCATTTTATTTTTTTAAAGGCGATTACACACAGTTAGAAAATACAAATACCACCTACAGGACTGGACTAACTGGATCAAACCGACCATGTCTGAACCTTTTTAATTCATGTATTAAAATAACAAAAAACATGTCGACAATTTAACAATCTAGCTTAACATACTGCCTTTTGTCTCTGTATTTTTCACACAACTCTCAGTAAGGGAAAAACAGTGTGCGGTCCCTCAACTCCCTATGTTCAATGAGGATAAACACACAGTATTTGCATTTTGCCATTACTGGTCTGGCTACACTACCTACCACTACTAAGAGATGACAGACCACAGTTTGATTAAGCTGCCCCTTATAATTTGCTTCAGTATCTAGGTTAACGTGGCCAATTCAATAATGGAGGGGGAAAGAGAGGGAGAAAAAAGGACAGAGGAGCCAACAGGAACACTAACCTACACATCCTAAGTGCTATACATGTGCAAATTTCCTTTTTCCTTTCCCTTTCCTAAATTGTTAGGAAAGCTCTCACATCTAAGTTACCTCAGGAAGCGGCTTAACAAGAATCACAACAGTTTTAAGCAATTTTTCTTACATTGTCACTTACTAAATCAGGATTATGTTATTGACAGTAAGCCTTCCAGTAAGAGTACGACTTCCATGAAAAGCATAATTTTGACAAGGCACATCTGTTAAGAGTAGATTTACTTTATAAGTCTCTTAAAAAACAAATTAAGGTATTTCAAGTATAGACTAATGAAGAATTCAATGATTTTATGGAAATTTGTAAGTTATCTCAAAAAAAATTGGGGAATGTGCAAAAAATCAAAGATAACACACCATAAAAATTTAGGTGGAGGAAAGAGAGCAAAAACCAGTTGCAGAAAAACTCAACAGAAAAAGTTTAAGTAATGCACTGGCACAAGAACAATATAAAATCAGAAATCTGGCACTGATTTAGCCATATGCCTCTTCAGTGGGGTTCACACAGAGCTAATAGTAATCCGGATCAATTTGACATTGTGTAATAGTGATGAAAAACCTTCCCTGTCTTTGCCAGAGATCCATCATTAGAGTGTACACAGCAAACAGACCCAAGTCACAGAAACAAGCCTTAGGGCAAATTCTCTTTTGATGTGCAAGGATTCAGCCACTTACAGCTGCACTGAAGTTAATGAAAACAACACAAAATGATCCACGGTACCTTTTGTTCTCAAAAGCTTGCCTAGGTAGCAACAAACTCTTCTTTCCTGCTTCAGATTTTCTAACCTTATGCCTTACGTTACCAAGGTATTTGCAAGAATAGAAAATGCATTAAAAAAAAATAATATCTGTGGGAGGTTTAAGTCATAGGAATGATGGAAAATATTTTAATGGCAGGGTAAGATGGGGAAGAGCTACAAAGAAAATGGATCAGGACAGAGAGTTTCAAATTTAAATCAGTATTAATATCCAGCTGCTATTACAGAGCTCTGTTCATGCCTCTCCTTCCAAGTTCATGATCACAGACGCAGAGAGGCATAAAAAAGCAGGTGCAAGGTGGTGGAAAGAGATTAACCACTCAAAGCAATTAAGTGTTGCATTAATTTAAAGAAATACTCAACTAGGAAAAACCTTTTGCTCTGTACCACTTACTTAAAAGTTAAGAATGTATTATCTAGCCTTTCACCATCACAAAACAGTATTCAACAGTTGTTATTTTCTAACTTGGGTTCCCACAGATTAAAAAAACCCAACAAACAACAAACCAGAAAAAAGAGACAGAGTGACCATGTCCTGAGCAATGAGCAAGAACCTCATTTTGAAACTTTCAGTAAATCTAGAAGTTTTCAGAAAAATGGGATCAAATCCTAGCGAAGCAAAGCTGTAGGCAGAGAGTCATCAGAGCCCCAGTGCTAAGACACAGGAGTGGAAACCGACCGATCTCAGACCTGAGGGCTCCGAGTTAGACAGGGGACACTCCTAGTGAAAGGAGTGGAGAACGCACGGGGAAGAAAACATCCCAACCCAGATGTAAAGATAGAACAGGAAAGCCTGTTCACAAGCCAACAAGCCCTGGACTGCTTCAGATGAGGTAATCATCACCCAGAACCAGGAAAGGGGAAGAATCAGTGCTTGCAAGGAAGGCATGAAAGGAAAGGCACAACATAAAGGCTGGCATTCAGCTTTGCCTTCTGACAGATAAGCATGACGCAGGTGACAGAGGTCACCTGCTTGTAAGAAGACAGCAGTCTCCAGTTACCAGATATCAGAAGACTGGTCAAAATTCCTTTCTCCTGCTGCCTTTCAGAGGAGCGTCCCTAAGATGTTCCCAGTGCCCTCGCCATTCCCGTGGGTGGGAGAGGAGAGAAGCTGGCAGCTGGAACAGGCTCCGGGCTGCTTGGTGGTATCAGCAGGTGCCTCCAAGCAGGAAGCACAGCAAGAGGAGGTGGGGAACGACACCGACGTTCAGACTGTGAACTACAGATTACCGAGACACACCGCTGGGATGGGGATGGGTAATAAAATCCAAGCACAACTTTAACTCCTGAAGAGCCTATCTGTGCTTCTCCAAGGATTAAAGGGAGCAACAAGAAAGGGACTCAAGAACAAGCATCTGAGATGTCTCTATTATGCCTGATTATTGCATGTTTGTTATCCAAAACAGCCCAAGACATGCAAGAGCTCGAAAGGAACATCTTTGCTGCACGTTTTAATTGTGTCCATATTTGGCATAAAAGAAATATTTTATTTCTTTGTCTCGTTCATTGTTTCAGCCAAACTCATCTAACTTGGAAATGTATTTCAAAGGCAGAGGGTGGGGACAACTTTTTCCCCAGGTAAGAAGACAAGCACTCTTAAGTAATTTGTTTCTTGCAAAAAAGGCAGTTGCTGCTGAGATGGTCCTACATTACATTTGCATACACAAATTAACAGGTGAAACGCACGATTTGCTGAAGGGCATCCCATAACTCTTACTGCGAGATATTCCTCCCTTTAACTCACACCTTGTGCTCTCTGCTGCCCACGTTCTGTGTCAGGAGTCCTCCAGATTCTCACGAGAACAACGCCGGTCCTGACACCACGGCCCAACCACAGCATTTGGATGCCTGGGTCTCAACAACAGCTACGCGAAAAGGTCGCCAGCTGCAGAGAAAGAACCTGCAAGCGCTGCCTCGTACAGCCAGTCGCTGATTTCCCCAAAAAGTGCGTGGGGTTACAAAGAAGGCGCAGCTCGTGCTGTCACAGCAACTCGGCGCTTAAACACTTAACGCATCCAACAAAATCCTTCACACGGCGCGAGCAGGACGGGAAGGGACCCCCAGGCAGGCGCGCACCCCGCGAGGGGAGGGCAGGGAGCCGGGCAGGCACCCCCGGGCTGCGCCAGGGAGCTCAGCTCCGGCTGCTCTTTCCCGGGACTCCCGGGCACGGCGCTCGTCCCGCGGCCGGGAAGGGGACGCCGGGGCAGCAGCGCTCGCCCAGCCTTACCGTCTGACCGTCCGTCCGCAGCCCGGGCGCGGCCG